TTTTTGTGATGTAATGCTACTAGAAGCAATAAAAGCCTGTCCAGAGAAGGGTTGGGTTGCTCTCTCACTCAAAGTGGCCATGCTGTCCCTTTTCTCCACAGGGCTTCTGCAATCCGTGTGAATTTGTTCATTGCATCCGCAACCCCACGGACACTGCTGATCAGTGTCTGCCTCAGTTCTTCCATTTTTTTTGGTCTGCTAGCATGAGAATACTGCATTCAAACAAGACTCAGGGGGATTAGATGACATGCAGATGGGTGGGGTGTTTTGAAGTCCCAAAGTTCAGTGCATTGGGAATGGCAGAGCAGTTATTAGATTCTACATGCCCTGAGTCAGGCACCCTGAATTTTGGATCTTTGATTTCTGAATTTTATAGGGACTTGTAGAAATATGACCCCTTCCCATAAATCTGGGTTTCAGTTTCCTCTTTTGTCCATTGGTAAAAGGTATGTGTGCACCACCGAGCTATTGGAGGAGGTCAAAAGCTATGGTGCCTATTCGCTGTGCAGCAGCTGTGCCTATGGCCTGTCAGGGCTCCAGCTACTTCAGTCTCTGACTACATAGACATTCCTAGGCCAGGAGGAACCCCTTACTCCTCCGATGTGCACAAGGCCCTGGAATTTGGAGTGTTTTAAGGAAGAAAAAAGTGATGCTTTCTGGAACCTGCTGAGTCACCTGTAGGAGGCAGGTGCTACTGGGCAATGAGGTATCAGTGTGGGGTCTCCATCTGGGAATTTTTAAGTGACTCACTAGAACTTCCTGAATGTCATTTGGCTCAATGTGACCTGCAGGTGATGATGGCACTTACCTTGGCCTCTTAGGATCCATAAAAGTAACAAATGAGTACTTGTCAGTACCAGCATTTCAAAATCTGGGAAGTGAAGTAAATTTTGAATTGCTGCTGAGAAAATTCAGAATTAGAGAAATGAAACATTTTCTTTAAATTTACATAACAGAGCAGTGTCAGATTGAAGAGGCTGGATTTTAACCCCAGATTCTGACTCCTGGGCCAGAGACAATCTCCAACACTGTTTCTGAGGCCTTCACTTGGGCAGCTACGCTGTAAGAACCTGGAGGCTCAGGTGAAGGTGCTATTTCCATTGTTGCAATTATGATTCTCCTCCTCCTGCCCATTTCTCTAGCACTCCAAAATACTTACCGTCTGCCCCCTAGTCTTAATAGTAACAACATCATCTGTAAACTTGGTGGTTTTTCAAAGGGAACATTGAGTCTGAGCTGCAATTTGTCTGCCTCCTCTTTGAGCACAGCATGGAGTGTGACTCTCAGGAGATGGGTAATTTGGTTTGGGTCTCTGCATTTTCACCCACCTTTTGGTGATAGGCTGTGATACCATCATTGAGGTGAATTTTGTACCTCAGTTAGTCTCTTATGGTGATTTTGTACATGGCTCTGACATTCACTCTGTAATATAGGGGTCAACATGATGTGAATATGGGGATCTCATGTTCAGAAGTGATGCTGGAGTCCTCAATATCACGATCTCACTAGGTGAGTGGTCACCTCCCACCATGCAAGGGCCCCCTGCTTATGTTATCCTGTCATCTAGGTTCAGAGTGGATTTATAGACAATTGTGTTCACCATGTCCTCCATGCAGCCATGACCATGTTATGAGCTCACGTCATCCTTTGCAGCCTCCCTCTGTTTGAACCAGAGATCTTTGTTATGTTTGTGTTATGCTCCATAACATAAACCCTGTCTCCAGTTCCCAGCACACTCTGGCCAAAACTGAAATTCTTACTCCAGATTCCAGGTAGCAGAGAGATACAAATATACTTTTTAAAAATATAAGGTATATAAGAAAAATCATCTCTGGCCGGCTTAAATCATTTGGTTGGAGACTCATGTGCATGGATGGGTTCGTTTTCCAGTTAGGGCCCATATCTAGCTGTGGATTTGGTCCTCTCTCAAGGCACATGGGGGAGGTAGTGGATTGGTCTCTCTCTCTCTCTCTCTCTCTCTCTCTCTTTCTCACTCTGTCCTTCCTCCTTCTCTTTGATCGCAATATTAAAAAATAAGAAAAATTAAGTGTCAATCACATTGAACAAAACAGTATGTATAGTCAAGGCAAGCACACAACTGGTGTCAGGCCATTTGTAAACAGTTTAAATTTCAGTCATTGAATGATAATACCACCACCATTTATTACTTTTTAAGATTTTTAAAAAAGATTTTATTTATTTTTAGACAGAGGGAAAGGGGGGAGAAAGGGAGGGAAAGAAACATCAGTGTGTGGTTACCTCTCACATGCCCTCTACTACGGACCTGGCTCACAACCCAGGCATATGCCCTGACTGGGAATCAAACCAGTGACCCTTTGGTTCACAGGCTATTGCTCAATCCACTGAGCCACACCAGCCAGAGCAGAATTTTTATATGTGAGATTACTTTGCTATTTGTATTTTATAAAGTTTTATTGGCCTGTTTGAATGTGCCTTGGTGCCACTAAACCTAGTAGAAATTTTTAACACCCATGTTCATCATAGACTTGTAAGTAAAATAGTGTTACAGAATCCATTTGTTATTAATGCACTGAAAATGTCAGAATTTACAAGCAAATATTGGTATAAACACATTCAGGTTCACTCAAAGTGAAAAAAGATCGTCTTTTTACTCTTCATAAGGAGCAAAGCTCTTTGAATGAATATCAGGGACTAGGTGTGTTTACTCAGAGGTGAGTGCAAAAATACTTTAGACACATGTGGAGGACTCACGGAGGGGAGATATTAGGTAACCCTAAAACAAGTGGATGCTATGACACCATGCCTTTTAGTTCCTCAGAAGTTATTTAATCTGACTGTCAGTCTTTGTGTTCCAATTGCAGAAATTATTTGTTTTTCTGAGTAACAATTCTTTAAAAACTTTCTGGGGCATCATTTATTGTTTTATAAGTATATGACATATATCTGGGAATATAATTAAATAGCCAATTTATATTTGTTTGCATCCAAGAATGTGTGGAAAATAGGAATGTGAACCTGAGAAAATGGTTTTGGATTTAGAGATCAGATCTCCTTATCAGGGAACAGTGATGAATTCACCTGTTTTTATCACATGACATTTTTTCATGGAGTTTTTCATATATGGTCTATCTCAGCTTTCTTATATGATATATATCTGGGAATACTGGTTATGTACTAATTTTACATTTCCTGCCAGAATGGGAGTGACATTGGCATCCATGATTGTGTAGAAAGTGGGCTTCTGAACCTGAGGTAAAGGTTTCGAATTTCAGATTTTACCACCTATCCTGGACAGGATGATCATTTCTGCTGAAAATGCATTGACAGTGTCTGCATGAGGACTGCAGGTTTTTTCCAGAAAAAGAATTAGATTAAACTACAGAAAGGTATTCCTGTTGATTAATGGAGTTATACAATGAGAATTACTTATGTAGCTAGAAGAGAGAAGGCTCTATTAAGCTTGAGAACAGGTAAGACAAAATGGGTGGCAAATAAGGACACTGACTTCTAAGAATGAGAGATTTAATCTCAGCTGTATCTCTCCTGGAAACTTGGCAACTATGAACTTGTTTCTGCAAAATGTGAGTTCTTTTAATTCGTGAGAACTTGAGGAAAAAATAGTTAAGTGACTAAGATAGCAAGTTGTTAGCAGAAAAATTAAAAGTCAAAGAAAAGACATGGCATCGTGTTTAATTTCATCAACAATCATTTAGTAATTATTATATTTCATCTGATTCAGAGGCTCTTCTAATTCTATGTTATATATCAATGAATAAATAAATGTGCTTGCAACCCGTTTTCTTCAAAGCCTTTCTGAAAGGCTAGCCAAGTAGTAAAAAAGAAAATATTTTATGTTATAGTAAATTTTAAGGGGATAGGTGCTGTTAAAACAAGAAAAAAATCACATCAAAATGACAAGTGTTGGGAACCGCCCTGACTGGTATCAGAGGCTGAAACCCCCGCCTAGGCTAAAGCTAAGGGAACGCCCTTGGGAACGCCCTTGGAACCGTGAGCCAGCAAGGAGATAAAAGCTTATCTTCCTGGCAGGAATGCTGCTTCTGCTGCTGAACCCCAAAAAGCTTGGTCGGTTAGCCAAAGACGGGTAAGATTCCCCACGGGGGGGACGACCCAAGCCAGGCACGATCACTTTGGGAGGCCCCCCAAAAGAAGGACTTGGGGGGGCTGCAGCAAAAGGGGGTGATGGACCCTCACTCCTCGGCTTTGACAAAGTCTGAGTTCTCAGCGACCGGAAGAAAATCTCCTTATCTCTCGGTGGCCTTAGTTCCCGTGCTCCACCTAAGCCTGAAACAATGACAGGGTAGTACAGCTCGGTACTGAGAAGTGCGGATTTCCCGGGGTGATCAGGCCTAAGAAAGAACATGTAAATTACTGTGAAACCTTCTTTGTTTAGAATGCTCTCAGTTGAATGAGAAGGGTCTTAGGAGGAAGTTATTTTGTTCCTCAGTCTTACCGCTCTTTGACCCCCAACTCAATAGACCGGCAGAGTTCTTTGTTTTCTATAGTTCCTTACTTCCCCTAATGAGTACTGTACTTTACCTGAATTATTATGCAAAATGAGCCCAATAAAAGCAGGTATGGACTGTAAATCGGCGCGCTCCTCACTAGAAGGGGTGGCCATTTCGTCCCTACTTCTCCACAGAAACTAGTTTGTCTCTGTGCATGTTTTTTTCTCGCGTGTTTATCGTCGAGCCATCCACAGCGTTCCGTGGTCACTGTTGGCCGGTGACCCACGCGCAGCAGACAAGTATGTGGATCCTGAGTATTTTAAGAGCTCTCATTCAGAGAGGGGAGAAGGATTGATTAGATCAGGATGCTATTCCGCTATTCCATGGAAAATAAAAGTGTAGTACAATTTTCCCATGTTTGCAACTTGGCTGGAGAGTCAGACCGTTTCAATGACTCTCCAATGCAGGAGAGCCAATTAGGGCTCAGAAAAGGCTTTTCCTTCGGGGCAAAACGCGCGCGGGCGGGACTTCCGTCCTTCTAGTGTGGGCATCTTGTCTTCTTTCAATCACCGGTCAGAGGGGGCTGAGCGGTGGGCCCCGGTGGCGAGGCGGTGGCAATAAATTGCCACGTCACAAATGCGATTGTGAGGCTCCGTGACCCCGCCCAGGTGACCCGGCCCCTGGTTAAGGATGGGGACCGCGGAGACCGGTGCCCCCGCCTCGTCTGCTGCTCCAGCTCCGCTCCGCACACGGAGTCCTCCGGCGGCGGCCGCCGCACTGAGGCGCGGGGCTGAGGTGAGTGCGCGCCCCGGCCCTCACCGCTGATCTCTACGAGGCCCGAAGCTCAGGTGCGGGGCGCGCGTCATGTTCTGCAACCCTGTCCCGCAGCCTGGTCCCCGGCGCCCGCCCGGGAAGTGAGGCGCTCGTGAGTGACACGGGGTGTGAAGGGGGTGGGAGAGGATGATGAGCTGAGGTGCTGCTGACCCTGAAAGACCCGCAAACTGGGATGGACCTTACGTCTCCTTTAAACTGTTTGAGACGGAGTCACGTACGAACTGGGAGGCAAAGGGTTTGCGACTTCATTCTGAGGATCCTGGGAGCCCTAGAAGGTTGTGAACCGAGAGGGGACACAGTCTGGGTCTTGGTTTTCAAAGCTTTTTACATCCTCCTGAGACAGAAAAAGCAACTGGAGTCTGACGGTGAAGACAATGAGGCACCAGAAGAGGAGCCCTTGTTCAAGGTCACAGGGTTAGTAAGAGGCCTCCGTGAGGAGACACTTGGCCTAAGGTCCCCAGACTCCAGGGCTGGGCCGGAATACAGCTGAGACCTTACCAGGAGCTGATGGGTGGTTGACTGCTTCTTCGCACAGGTTCTGAAGTTGAAAGCCATTATGTAAACCAGACAATGAAAGAGAAAGGGTGTTCCAGCCCCTCCCTGGTGATGACAATACCTATGGTGTCTAAGTTAGACTGTTCCCGTGACAGTTTCCCAGCTCTCAGGAAGTGGGGCCCTGGGGATACCCCAATCTTGAGTGCAAGTCACAGGTAATATCAAGGTGCTCCTATTTCTGGTGTCAATGTAAGAAACATTCAAACCTTTAGAGATTTTTTTTCTTAATGTTTATTTTAGACAAACTGATGAAGATTGCCAGGAAAAAAAATCTCAACAGAGTTAGAAAATGTTTTGGAAAATGGCATATTTACTTCTTTTATACATCAGAATCAAAAAGAAAGACATAAGTGGGGAACTTGACATCCATTGGTGATAAGTTAGAAAGGCAGGAGAAAACGAGGGAAACTCTGATGTTACATAAAAGGTAAAAATGTTCTTTTACCTTGGTGGACATAAGATACTTATATTTAATTACTCAACACAATAATAACTCAGTGGTTTTTTGGCCTCTTTTCTGGTGCAGTGTTTGTGCCCTGCTGGGTAAGAAAAAAGGAAATTATCCTGACATTCCAAAGGTATGTTAACAAAAGTGCCAAAATACAAAGATGGGCTCAGTTAAGGTAAAAAATTCACTTTCCTCAGGAAAGATACAGACCTAGGTCACGACTACTGTGTCTCACTTTTAGTTAGAAAGCTTTAAGTTCAGGCCATATAGAGGGGTATTTTTGGTCTCTCACTTTGTAGGACCATCAAGGAGGGCTCCTATAAGGTGGTTGGGTTCAGTTTGTGTCCTCTTTTTTTCGGGTCTACATAGGCAACCAGTATAAGCAGTTAAGGCAGGTTGTTTGGGAAGGTACACCTGTACCTGCAAATACTTGGAGATGCCACAGAGCTGGGAATAGGTATCTCAGGTCTCCTTTGTGTTAAAAACAAGGAGCTGCCCTGGCTAGTGTGGCTTAGTGAGTTGGATGTTGTTCCACAGAGTGAAGATCTCTGGTTCAATTTCCAGTCAAGGCACATGCCTGGGTTAACCCCAGGTCCCCGGTTGGGAGCATGCAAGAGGCAACAGATATTTGTTTTGAATATTAATGTTTCTCGCCTTCCTCCCTTACACTCTCACTAAAAATAAATGAATAAATCTTTTTTTAAAAGTTTTTTAAAAAGTTTTCCTGACAACAAGGAGCAAGGGGATTGAGAATCAGAATTGAAAATGGCCAAATGATAATTTGGTTATCTATTATGGAGTTATTGGGGCATTTGCATAAGAGATAGGAGTTGGTCTCAGGTGAGTGTAACAGTTTCCATCCGGATGCATAGTGGAAAACAGATTATGGGGGTTAATGGAGGAGGCATGGAGCGCTGGACCACGTGAGTTCTATGATCCAGAGGAGAGCTGATGGACCAGAGTTGAGCCTCAGAGGTAGGAGAAAAGGTTGGATTCTTGGTCCATCTTTTATTTTTATTTTTTATTTATTTTTTAAAGATTTTTTTGAAATATTAATGTGTGGTTGCTGTGGGCCGTGGCCTGCAACCCGGGCATGTACCCTGTCTGGGAATCGAACCTGTGACACTTTGGTTCGCAGCCCATACTCAATCCACTGAGCTACGCCAGCCAACCATCTTTTATTTTTTTATTGTATTTTTTTCATTACCATTTATCTCCCTCATACCCTCTTCCTCCCCCTTCCATTTTTAAAAAGGGCAAGTAGAGTTTCAGATTTTGCAGCTGCAGGAAAGAAAGGAAAATGTTCAAAACCACCCCAGTGTTTTTGGTCCTAGCAGCTAGAAGCAGTGGAGTCTCCATCAACTGGACTGGGGAAGATGATAGTAGGTTAATTCTCTTTGAGAATATCAGAAGGTCCTTTTTGTTCAGATTTTTAAAATTTCAAAGAGCAGTAAGTGGAAACATCTAGTGAGTAGCTGAACACATGGATCTGGAAATCTGAGGAAGGATCAAGGTAGGAGTCAAGCAAAACTGGTGGCTCTTTTGTGTTATGGCAAATGTGGTAGAGCTGAGGGTGTAACCTAGAGCTGAGGGTGAAAATGTGAAGGGGGCAGAGATCACACAGTGGTGTGCACAGCCAGAGAAAGTGTGACCTCGTGGTCCTGGGTACCTGGTGTTGGGACTTAACGGTGAACATAAGAGCATGTTTGGCTGTGTCTTGGAGGCATGATCTGGGACACTCAGTGGAATTGCTTAGCTGATAGGATGGGGGCCTGCTGGAATGGCCCTGAGTTTAGATGGCATTTATCTGCCCCACTTCCTCTTTTTCTGCCTACCTTTGCTGAGGGCGATGTGAGTGATTAATGAGACTGTGATGAGACAGTAGGCATTCCTGGCACCAAGGGCTGGGCCCTTACTTTCCCAACTAAGGGCCCTAGAGGAGTTTGAGTGTGGTGAAGAGTAGAATTGTGAAGTCTCAGACACACTTTTCCATATTATTTGTGTTCATTCTGACAGGTTGTTGTGACCTTTGAGGACGTTGCTGTGTATTTCTCCAGAACAGAATGGCATTTCCTTGATGAGGCTCAGAAAATCCTGTACTTTGATGTGATGCTGGAGAACTATGCTCTTATATCATCACTGGGTAAGATAATCACTCTCCCATCATGCTCTTCTTCAGCTTGCCTTCTCCCTTTCCTCAGAGTTGCAGTTTACTTCTATTCTAAGTTCTAAGGGTCCTGACTAGATTTATATCCGGGGAGGAATGGACAGCAGCAACTGGTCTTAAGCTTGTTAAAGGAGACTCAGTTCTTCTTTCTGACACAGTAAGGAAACAGATTAGCAGTCTGCTAGCGTGCAAGCAGAGTGTACTAGTGATAAGTTCTCTAGAAAGAAAATGGGTCTTGCTGAGTTGGGGGTGAAGGGCGTAGGTTGAGGGCAGGGCAAGGTAAGGGCAGCAGGAGGAAGGGTGGCAAAAAGCATCAGGTCCTTTGTCCTGAGGATTTATATAGTCCACAGGATGGGGGTGAGAGTTACGTATTGATTGACTATTAAAGGTGGTGCCAGCTTCCCCTGGGGGGATGTGACTACCCAAAAGTAGTTATTGGTAGAGGGATTGTTAACCAGAATTCTTATTGTGCTTCAGACCACATTTGGCCATCTTGTTGTAAACCATGACAGGAGGCAGTTAATTAAAGTTGAGGTAGTTTCCCAGTTATTTATGGTCTCTTTCTATAAGCACTAAGGAACCCCACATAAAACAGAAAATGACCAGAGACAGGCAATTAACTAAGCTGTTTTATGAACCTTCTTCTGTAGGCACTGTGGACTCCCTGGTACCTTTTTTCCAGGCCTTGGGATGAAAGCACAGTTTTCAAAGGCTTTCTTACCCAGCTAGTGGAAACGCTACATAGAATTTCAAGGCCTACCCCCTTCTCATGATAGCGTGGTGTTTTTTGTGATGTTCAGAACACCTGGCAATATTATTGGGTCAGGCTCAGGACTGCTGAGGTAGTGGGTCCAGGGGGTCCATCCTGTCTCCAGGGGTCCTTCGTTTTGCTTCATTGCTCCAAACTTTAATAAACTAATTCACATTTTAAAAAAAATTTTCACTCTTTCCCGGTGACCTTGACTAGGGTTTGCATTTCCCCCCTGCCCTCTTGTTCCCAGGGAGCCTTCTGTCCCCACATGTGAACTATGGGCACTGCTTGCTTACCCAGTGTTCTGAGTAGATACTGGACTTGGCAGGACTGGTTGCTTGCACTACTCCCTACTCTCCCTGCAGCCCCAATACCTGCTGTGCAGAATTCTCATAGGGAAGGATTCGACATCAGTTGTTGTCAGAATCAATAGATTTCTCATTGATTAGTGAGAAAAAGCATTTTTTGATTGTTAGAAGGAGGGAGAAGTAGAAATATCAATGTGAGAGAGAAGAATGCATAGGTTGCATCCTGTACATGCCTTTAAAAGGGGTTCAAACCCACAACCTACTCATGCACAGGGCACTGCTCTAACTAACTGAGTCACTTGTCCAGAGCTGGATCAACTACTATGCATATACTTTTTGGTTCTGTTTTCTCAATAGTGTTTTCAAACTTCAATAATTCCTTATTGCTTTCAAATGGGATGATCTACCCATGGTTGAAAGGGGAATATTTAAGTTGTCTAGTATTGTTGCATTGCATTTTCTGCCTTCAGATCTCATACTGTTTGCTTAATGTACTTAGGTACTCTGTGCTTGGGTGCATAGTAATTGCAATTGTTATCCTCCTGCTCTCTTTGGTGTCACTTGCATGGCATATTTTTTACATGTCTTTATTTTCAGTGTATTTGTGTCCATAAAGATTTAATGAGTCTCTTGGAAGAAGCATATATCATCATGCAGGGACTTTTTATTTTTTAGAACACAAGGAAGCCAGTCAAGCCTGTCTATCTATCTGTCTATCTGTCTATCTATCTATCTATTTATCTATCTGTCTATCTATTCATTCATTTATTTATTTAGAATACTTTATTATTACATTTTTGTATGTCAAAATGTTGACATACATTTTTATATTAGTTTCATGATTAAACATTGTATAACTTACTAGGTGATCATCTCAATAAATCTCACATCCATCTGATACCATACATAATTAGTAGAGTGCTATTGACTCTATTCCCTGTTAGGGTGGTCAGTGACGTGGGCTGTGAAAGAATTCACAAAGAAAAGAAAATGTAAAGAGTAAAGTATTTATTCACTCACCAAGAAAGGAGAAAGGCAAGTTGTGGAGAGGTGCACCAGTACTAAGGGGTGGGGGCTTTGAGTTTTTATTGGATTACAATTGGATTTAAAAAGGGCGGGGGTTCCCGTTGTGTGTCCCCTGAGCTGTTAGGGCTACAGTTTGTTCCAGTGTTATCTGCTGCCTGTGGCTGTGGGGAGTGGTTAGTCACTTTCTGTTCTTGCTTTCCAGTCATTTCCAGTCCTTGGGACTTAAGCTCAGAAGAGTAAAATGGCAGTCATGTTTAACAATGTCATAGGCCTGCTCAGCAAATGGCACCATGATTGCAAACAGTGCCAACTTTATCCTTTCATTCCTTGTGCTTTACTTGGCATCCCCATGATTATTCGGTAACTGCCAATTTGTAATTTTTAATCCCTTCACCTTTTTCACCCATCATGAGAAATTTTTCAGTATGTATCTGAGGCAAACTGATGACAAGGGCCAGGAAACAAGGTCTCCAATGCTTGTGTCTTGTGTTTTTTATCCCTTAAGCCACTCTGTCTTTAGGTTGGAGAATTTCTTGAAGAACCTACTGTTACCACCTTATCATTGTTTTCTGCCTCTTTTGTAGTTCCTCTTTTGTCTTCCTTCCTGTCTTGCTGACTTTTTGTGATTTGATCCTTTTCTCTAGTGGTATGTTTTCATTCCTCTTTCTTTTGTGCATGTGGTACACAGGATTGTGCTTGTGGTTTCCATTAGACTCCCATAAAGCAACTCATACTTTTAACAGTTTATCGTAACCTGAAAACAGCTTCACTTGCATGCAAAAACTCTGCCACACTACCCCTTTGTATGTTTTATGGGACAGTTCACATCTTTGTTGTGTATCTATTCACAAATTATTGTCACCATTGTTATTCTTACTATACTTTCTTTTCATCCTATACAATAGAGTTAAATAACATACACTTTACCAATGAACTGTCTTAGTATTGTGAACTTGATGACATATGCTGATTTACCAGAGGGTTTTACAGTTTGGTACATTTCCTGTTTCTATGTAGTATGACTTTATTTCAGCTGAAACATCTGTTTTTCTTGGCATTTCTAGTAAGTCAGGATGAGTGGAAATTAACTTCTTTACCTTTTGTCTTTTTGGTTGAGTTTTTTTTCTTGTTATTTCTGAGGAAGACTTTTTCTGAGTAAAGTATTGTGGTTTGCAGATGTTTTCTTTCAGTGTTTTGAATATACCATTTGATATTCTCCAAGTCTGCAAGGTTTCTTTACAGAAATCTGTTGATGGCCTTATGGTAGTGTTGTCCTTACATAAGCAGTTTGTATTCCCTTTGATCTTTCAATCTTTGTTGTGTTTTTGATTTTTTACATTTTTATTATAATGTGTCTTGCTGAACTCCTGTTGGCATCGAATCTATACAGGGACCTGGGAGGATCTTGAACATGGCCATTCACTTTCTTTTTCATATTTTAAAGTCAATCTTTAGGTCATTTTTTAAAATAAAATTTTTTACACTTCTTTTTTTCCACCCTTCCCATCTATCTCTCATTTTCTTTTTTTCACCTTCTCTGGGACTCCCATAATGCAAATTTAGGTTATCTCTGTTGTGTCCCAAAATTCAGGTTGTCTTCACTTTTTTTTCCTTTTATATGGATGATTTTAAATAACCTGCCTCAGAGATGACATAATTCATTTTATTCCTTGATTTAGACTGCTCTTGAAACTCTTGCATTTTTCATTTTATTCATCGTATTCTTCAACTCCCAAATTTCTGTCTCATACTTTCTTATGATTTCTGTCTCTCTGATTCCCATGTTTTGTTCCCATATTTATTAGTTCATCACATTGAGTTCCATGTGTTTTTGCTCATACATCACAGAAGTTTAAAAAAATGATTATTTGAATTATATTTCTGGCAATACATATACCTCAGTTTTCTTGGTTTAATTCACATTAAAATTGTGATGTTCCTTTTGTGATTTTATTTCATATATCCCTTTCTCTTAGTGTTCATATCTGATATTTGACAAAATAGTTACCTTTTTTAAAGGATTTTATTATTTATTTTTAGAGAGGAGAAGGTAGAGGGAAAGAGGGGGAGAAAAACATCAGTACATGGTTGCTTCCTGCATGCCCTCTACCGGGGACTTGACCCACAACCTAGAAATGTGCCTTGACTGGAAATGGAACTGGTGACACTTTGGTTCACAGTCCAGTGCTCAATACACTGAGCCACACCACCCAGGACAGATGAAGCAGTTACTTTTTTGAACTATAAGAACCAATTATGTTTAGAGGGGTAGTTTTATCTACATGTGCATACAAGGGTGTTTGCTAGGTGGTGTGTCATCATTGCTAGGTGATGACAAGCTATACTTCCCATTCTTCTTGCTGCCCCATGAGCTAAGTCAGCATTGTGAAGATTGAAGGGGTACTCAGTGCCCAGGGCTGTGATTTTTCAAATATTTGGCAATGTCTTTTGAAATCATTAGTGACACAAAGCAGGCCAGTAGAGTCAATAGTAGCACAAGGATAGTGTCTTCTAGAAGTTCTTACCCTTGTGTTTTGAATCTAACCACGTTTGCTAAGCCAGTCTTTCCTGCTATTCCTTTGCATAGCTCTTTATATCATGCTCTACTTTGAAGCTTTTGGGAATAACTGGTATGCTAAGCCTCTCTCCCTTTCCTGAAAGGATGCTATTTATCATGGATAATTGTCTAAATAGAAAAAGGGGGAATATTTTTTTTTCTGTCATTTTCTGTCATCATTCACATAGATCTTTTTCTTTTGGTTTGTTTGTGCAAAGTTGTTCTACAACAGTGTTGGTTATTCATCTCTTCTGCTTTCTCTTTGGAGTTGCATCATCCCCATAATTGGTCATTGGGGAGGGAACTGAAAGAGTCTTTTGTGTATCACAGAGAGATATTGTCTAGCCATGACAGATAGGGTTCACAGGAGTCTGGCATTGGGGGAGATTTTGATTCCAAGGCTTTGTTAAAGCATAATGAGGGCAATGTTGTCTTTAACTGTATTTTATCACTGCCAGTGGCCATAATTTACCATAATTTACCATAATTTACCATTGCCAGTGGCCATAATTTAATCTACTTGTCCTTTCCAGGTGCTGGCACATTGCCAGTTTGTTTCTTTTAATAGTTTTCATTTCTATCTTGACTTCCAACCATGGATAATCTTTGCCTCTCCCACCTCTACCACACAACCATTTCTCTGAGACGTCTTTTTGGTGTGCTTTCCCATTTCAATCAATGTCTGTGGCACCTTGAAGTATGCTCATATATCTACACAAACCTTCCACAGTATCTGTTCTGCTTCAGTTGATATTCATGGTTTTACACTCATTCATATTCTTCTACACAACTTTACATCACAGTAGGAAGGGTTTTTCAGGCAGCCATTAACAGGGGAACAGTTTGTAAACCCAGCCTCTATTCTTGTGTCCGTCATGTGCTAGTGTTCTTCAATTAATGGGGTGTCCATTATTACTGACCAGAGGGACTTCTTCTGAGTCTGTCTCACTTGTCTTAAAAATCAGCACATAGAATCATGCCAGCTATTACAGATGCAAATTTGTGATAAGAAAATCCACTCCCTACAGTTCAGTATGTACTTCACTAGCGTTTATTTTTGTTCAGGTTGCTGCTGTGGAACAGAGGATGTGGAAGCACCCATTGAACAGAATGTTTCTGAAAGAGTCTCGAAGGTTAAAAATCTTAAGTCATCACTATCTGCACAGAAGAGCCACCCCTGTGAGAGTTGTGGGTTCATCTTGAGACACATTTTCCTCTTGGTTGACCAGCAGGGAACACAACAAAGACCAACACTGCTGAGGTGTGGGGCATGTGCAAAACCATTTTATTTCAGTGCACACCAACACAAGCACTGGGAGCAGGACATAAAAAAGAATTGTTTCATAAGCAGTGTGGATAGGGTCTCATTGGCAAAGACCTGCAAATCCCATGCGTCGTGGGAGCCTTGTACCACTCATCAGGTTGGAACATGCTTCCTTATCAGCTCTAGACATCTTGAGCAACTGGGCACACAAACCATGCACAGGACAAACAAAATCTCTAAGATTAGAATGACTTCTCAAAATAGAAAATATCATTACACCCAAACAGAATGTAAAAAGACAATTGGCTGTGATGACACACTTGTTGAGGGCCAGAGTTTATTTACAGGAAGACAGTGTTTTGTGTGTTTTGAATGTAAGAAGTCTTTTTCCAGAATTTCTTCCCTCCGTGTTCATCAGAGAGTTCATACTGGAGAAAGGCCTTATCATTGCAGTGAATGTGGGAAATCTTATACCAGTAGCTATGCCCTCCGTAAGCATCACAAAATTCACACCGGAGAAAGGCCTTATGAGTGCAGTGATTGTAGGAAATCTTTTACCACTAGCTCTCTTCTGCATTACCATCAGAGAGTTCACACTGGAGAAAGGCCTTATGAGTGTGGTGAATGTGGGAAAGCTTTTTCCTGGAGTTCTTCCCTTCAATGTCATCAGAGAGGTCACACTGGAGAAAGACCTTATGAGTGTGATGAATGTGGGAAATCTTTTAAGAGAAGCTCTGACCTCCGTGTTCACCAGAGAGTTCACACTGGAGAAAGACCTTATGAGTGCAGTGAATGTGGGAAATCTCATACCAGTAGCTCTGACCTCCACAGACATCAGAGAGTTCACACTGGAGAAAGGCCTTATGAGTGTGGTAAATGTGGGAAATCTTATACCAGTGGATCTGCCCTCCGTAGACATCAGCGAGTTCACAGTGGAGAAAAGCCTTATGGATGAGGTGAATGTGGGAAATCTTTCACCATTAGCTCTGCTCTTCATTATCATTAGGGAGTTCACACTGGAGAAAGGTCTTATGAGTGCAATGAATGTTGTAAATTTTTACTTGGAGCTCTGTCCTTTTTAATCAGAGAATTCATACCAGAGAAAGGCCTTATGTGTATCATGTATGAGGGAATCTTTTCCTCTAGCCCACAAGTTCATCATGTGAGAGTTCACCCGGGAGAAAGACCTTATGAATTCATTGAATGTGCCTTTGTCATCACTGAGCTGTTCACACTGGATAAAGGCTTTTCAAATGCAGTGAATGTGGGAAATCCTTTCTGTATCAGTCACCTCCATTGGCATCAGAGGGTTCTCACTGGGAAATGGCCTTATGTGTCCAGTGAATGTGGCAAGTCTTTTTGTTGTATCAGTACTTTCTATTATTATGAGAGTTTACACTGCAGTTATCTCAGTATCGTTACCCTACTGGGGCATCTGTGGGTGACAGTAAATCTCCCCAGAGCTCACTTCACTGATACGAATCAATGAAGGCGCTAACCACGGCCCTTTTGAGAATCAGTAGAGGTAATGAAATTCAGTAAACACTTATAGGCAGTAGTATTGCAGGATTTGCTTTTTTATTATTTTCTTTTTAATTCAAATGCACCCTGGGGATTAATAACTATTATTATATTTCTGGGGAAATCAAGATCAGGAATAAGAATGGATTTTTCCATCGTCACACAGTAGACAAGTGTCAGGTTCAAGAGGTTGGCTTCAAACTTGTAAATCTGGCACCAGTGCTGGGACAGTCTCTACCATGGCATATTAAGTAATCAGTGCAAGGGAGGAGGACAGCAAATTAAATGGTAAATTCAATTGTTACGGATGTTTTAATTGTTGTAATTTGTAAGAGGCCCCATTCCACAAAGTTTCTCCCATTCGTGGATGAAAATAAGTCATCCCAGACACAATCTGTTGTTCTGGTGGGAAAGGGGCTGGAGATTCCCCTTAGCAGAGAATGCCCCAAGCCCTTCTCTGAAATGGCTTTTATTGGGATCTGTATGTACAGGGGTATACAGCATACATGCATAGCTTATCAATCAATGTCCAACGGCTATAGTTGTAGAAAACAAATATTATCTATAGATAACAATTGAAGGAACACAGAGATCTGCCTCAGGTCAGGGTCTGTTTGACATGCCAATGCCAGATGGTTGTTAAACCATATTTCATGAGACAAGGAGTTCACTCCTTATGCTTTGAACTTAAACATCTGGTTTATATCAAGGGGGCTATAGCAAAGCAAAGCAAAGCAAAGCAAGCTTCAAAGGATATAATGCATTCTTCAGGCCTGATTTCCCACCAGAACCCTCAGTGTTAGTATTGGGATGTACCTGCCACCTGCACTCCCTGCGTTCTGATTGAGACTTACCGGCCTCTTTCAAGGGCTTGCTCTTGTGGGGCTACAGTTTCCAATACTTCACAAAGTGGTCCCCAACAGTAATTATCATGAATTTCCCACATTTTCCTGATCTTAAAGTGTTTAACATCTGGCTCAGAGTCTTCGTGGGAAAACTATATCATTTCCAGTGGTTCTTCCAGGGGAAACTACTTTAAACCTCATCTGCACTTTGTTATTTTATTTTATAATTTTTTAAATATTTTTGAGTTTATAACAGCTCAGAACTAAGGAGACCCCAGTAATTCAGGGAAGAGTCTTTCTTCATGTTCACTTTCTTTGGCATGGCATGCCTGCATGTTATCCACTGTGGTAAATGTGGTGCATCAGTTTGACCCATTGAGTGTTTTTGGTACATGTCGCTGACATGCGCTCTGTAGTATTGAGGACAGGTGGACCTGATACCTGGGACATATTTAGAAGTGATGCTGGAGACCTATATAGTATTGTTATCTCCTTGGAGGATAGTTCACCTCATTTTCATACAGGAAACTCAGTGTGCACTTGACCCTGTACTCTGTCAGGACTGGCTGGAGGAGACAGTGTTGCTCACCATCTATTCCCTGAAGCCCTGACCATGTTCAGCAGCCACATTCTCCTTTCCAGTGTCCCTGTGTCTGCACCAGAGATCTTTGGGTAGGAACATAGTCCTTCTGAACACAAGCCCTCATTCCAATGCCTAGTACACTCTGGCCACAACTGAGGTTCTTATTCCTGATTCTCCAGACAAGGGCCAATTGGCCAAATCATGTTGAGTCAGTCTCTATGAAGCTCAGTTAGCAGAGTTATGGTTACCGGGCTTTTTCAGAGAAGAGAGTGAGTCCGGAACATCTGCAATCTGCTTTCATGATATCTCCCTAAACAACACAGTCCATTTAAAGGTACCAGGTGACGTGGGTGGACACTGAAAAATGACCCCTTTCCCCTTGTTTCATCCTCACTGCTGTCAGTAGACTGCCTTAGATTAGTGCTGAATCTCTAAAGCCCTTGTGTTACTGATTTTCCATTTTCAGCAGACTGAGCAAGCAGCCCTGAGTAGCCCTTGTAAGTGACCTTGGGACTTTAGAGCATTATTTTTATGTCATTTTCATGTTAACTCATCACTTAATCATAAATCAAACAGGCTTTCCCACCTATTGGACACATACATTTTTTAGGATAGAATGTATGTGAGAAAAATTAAGTGTAGCTCATGTTAAAGAGAATAATACTATTGTACAGTTAATGACCCCTAAGCAGAGATCAGGTGTCAGGTCATTTGTAAGGCCAGTTGAAACTCCTCTTGTTGAACTCTAACATCATCGCCAGCCTTAAGCTTTAAGTTGCCTTGCATGCTTGATTATATTGTTACTTGTATTTCATTGATGTGTTTTTTCTGGTGTGACTTGTCCCACTAAATCCTACAGAAAGTTTTTACACTCACTCTCATAAAAACATGTTATTAAAATACTGCTACAGAATCCTGTTTGCAAATCATGCTTTGAAAAGGTCAAAATGCATACCCCAAAATTTCCATAGATATGAATATGTACTCAAAAAATTGATAACTCATTATCTTTATTAATTGGGAAGCAAAGTTCTTAATAGTGAACATGGAGAGGTTCTGTGTTTTTGTTCAGCAATGAGAGCAATACTAGTTGACACATTTGTAGAGAAAACCCAGAGTGTACATACTAGGTAACCCTAAAGCAAGTGGATGAGTTGGCACCATGTCTAATAGACACTCAGAATATTATCCCTCTGTCTCATTCAGTATTTGTATTTTTAAGAAGATATTAAATCATTTACTAACTACACATCCTAATGGATGATCCACAGATTTGATTGCCATCTATATTTTTATCAGGTACAATAGTTGAATTTAGATGTATTGCATAGAATGTGTCAACAATCCACATTAACTTTCATGACTGCTTGGGTGACCCTTTTAATGGCAAACTCCAGGTCACAGAACAGTATCTATCAATTATACCACACACCAAGTTTTCTGAAGACAATGGCTTATGTGCCTAAGCAAATTGTAAATAAGTTTTGAGTGAAACCCGGCATCACTCTGGAGAAATTCTAACTTCACAGTCTTTGGGTAATTTACCAAGATAGCTTTCAGGTGAACTAATGTTCACAGCACATTTTAAAAGAATATATTTAGGCCTGACTAGTGTGGCTCAGGTAGTTTTGTGTCAACCCATTAAGTGAAAAGTTGCAAGTTCCATTCATGGTCAGGGCACATAGCTAGGTTGTGGGTTCTGTCCTTAGTTGGGGCATGGGCTAGAGGCAACTGATCGAAATTTATCTTTCACATAGGTATTTCTCCCTCTTTTTCCCTCCCATTTCCTCTCTCTAAAAAAAATAAATACTTTTTAAAGTAAAGACATTTATTCAGTGTCTTTATCAGAGCATGACATTTAGAAATCAATATCATGAGTGTAAACAAGTCTATATTAAAACTGTTAGAATGCATCCCTGACTGGTTTGGTTCAGTGGATTGAGCACCCGCCTACAAATCAAAGGGTCGCTGGTTTGATTCACAGTCTAGGGCACATGCCTGAATCGCGCCCCCAGGTTCTCTGCAGGGGCTACATGAGAGGCAACCACATATTGATGTCTCCCTCTCTTTCTCCCTCCTTTCCCCTCTGTCAAATAAATAAATAAATAAATAAATAAATAAAGTTTATAAATAAACTTAGAATGCTGTACACTCTCCACAGAACAGAAACTAACCTGTTGTACAATTGTCACATACAGTCCTCAAGTTTTTTGCCCATTGACATGAGTCTTGCAGCCTGGCACCTGTGCTAGGCTGAATTCACAGATCTGTTGTAACCTGTAGCTTCTCTTGCTCCCCCGCCTCCTGCTAAACTTTGTTTCCAGGCAGTACTTACAACCTGTGCCACAGCCATCGCTGCTGCTGCTGCTGCTGCTGCTGCTGCTGCTGGATCCACCACAGCCACCGTGGTTTCCTGGATTGGCAGAGTGTTGGCCTCTGTCACCATAGGGGCAAGAATGTCTGCTTCCAAAGTTTCCTACTTTCGTGCATCGAAAATATGCAGATTGTTATAATTGCCAAAATCATTGTATCTTCCATCACCTCCAAACTTCTTTCTATCATTATCAAATTCATTATGGCCATCCTCGGTGCCACCATTTTCACCGCCACCACCACAGCAGCCACCAAAGTCACCTTGACCACTAAAGTTTCCTCTACAACCAATGTCCTTTGTATGAAAATTACCTCCATGACCATCTCTGAAGGTTCCAGAACCACTTTTACTTCCTTGGCTGGATAAAGCACTAACCAGATCTTGTTTAGATGAGGCTTTTATCACTTCACAGTTGTGGCCATTCACAGTATGGGACTTATAAATGACAACCCTATATTAAGATTGATTTTTTTTTATTAAAGGCAATGAAGGGAGAAAAAGGGAGAGAAACATGTGAGGGAATCATAGATCAGTTGCCTATCTCATGTTTCCAACCAGGGACCTGGGCCACTACCCAAGCATGTGCCCTGACCAGAAGTTGAGCCAGTGATCTTTGTCTGCAGGCTGGCACTCCATCTACTGAGCCACACCAGCCAGGGCTTCAGTGTCTTTAATGCCATGGACACAAATCTTTTTCACCATTATGTGGATATCAGTTCTTTGAGAATCTCTTGAGACAGTCCTTTTTGGTTCTGCAAATCTTCCACCCATCTCATATGGCCATGAATTTATGGCTGCATCCAGCTCCTCCACAGTAGCATGTGTGACAAACCCCAAGCCTCTGGAGCACTTGGTGTTTGGATCTTTCATCATCACAGTCTGTGAGCGTTGGCTATTGCTCAATATGGCTCCTCAGATCCTCACATGTTTCAAAGCTCAAACCACTGATAAAGAGGTTCTTTACCATTTGGGCTCTTTGGGAGACTCTGACTTAGGCATGGAGACTGCAGGAGGGAGACTTTAATGATGGTCATTCAGCAGGTACCTGGGAATAATGGTTATGTACAAAATTTATATTTGGCACCAGGATAACTGCAATGTTGTCATCCGTAAAGGGTCGGAAAGTGGGCATCTGAATGTGAGATAAATGTTTTGGATTTCTAAATATCTCCACTTGATGGGGAAATGATCATAATTTTACCCATAAATGCAGTGACAGTTTCTGCATGGGGACTGCAGTCTATTTCTGCAAAAAATGTTATGGAGTGAGCAAACTACAGAACAGTATTAAAATTGTTAATGGAGTTACACAATGAGCATTACTTAAATAGCTATAAGAAAATGTTCTATGAAGCCTGGGAACAGGTAAGTGTCAAAGGGTGATAAATAAAGGACATTGGGTTCTAAGAAGTGAGAGAATTAACTTGAGCTATGGCTTTGGTGGAAATTTGGCTACCATGAAATTCTACTTACAAAGTGTGAGTCCTTTTCATTCATGAGAACTTAAGAAAAAATAGTGAACTTAGAAAGATAGTTTAAGTTGTGAGCTTAGAAATTGAAAGGAATAAAAGGAAAGCCATGACATGATGTTTCATTTCTTAAACAATCATTTATTAATTACCTCATATGCTTTTAGGCTACTTAGGTTTAAGGGAAGGTGTGATTGACTCCATGGCCATGTTGCAGGGCAAATTGAAGCAACTACCTTCATTCTAAGGGCCTCGGTGGCTCTATCACTCACTGTCAGGAGGTCAAAATCAGAGTTGTGCCTCTTGTCAAAGAAGACCTCACACCTGTCTCTCTGGACAACAATGTCCCAGGAAAACAGGGAGCTTACACAGTTCACCAGTGTTGGTGTCATTGGGCAACATATTCCCTGGGTATTTCCCAGCTCTCGGATGACAAGGTTGTCTGGGGTGGTGAGTATGTAGAAGATTCTTGATGCTTCACAGGGGCTTGTCCTTTTGTATGGGGATGCAGTCAAAGGCTTTATCATAGTATTCTAGGTTCACACATCACTCAGGGTCTTGTAGCTCTGACACAAGTAGAGCATCTTTATTAACTGAGGAAAGTTATTTGTTTCTACTCCCAGTCCCTATGAACTTCAGTCTCATGGATTTTAAGTTTGTTCCCATAAGTGCCTCACTCCAAATTGTCCCTGGAATTTATTCCACAGGCACATGCATTTATTCTCTCTCTCTGGTGCTCTCAGGCAGCATCTGCAGGATCAACTGCATCCTGTTCCTTAGATATTTGTCTTGGCTAAGGTTTTGCTGTGAAAATGTTACCTGACTCTGGTGGTAGGCAGTCTTCCATGTGTACACTGTGTCCCTGGCTTGAAACAGTTTTATTCTCCTTGTAGAGGTAAGAATACTGCTTTCCACCACCAAACTGAGAGGGCTACTAATGCAGGTAGCCCTGTATCTTTGTATGTGGCACTTATTCGGTCTGCAAACTTTGTCAGCAGAAATTAGTTGAATGGCTGGTACAGCATAACCCACAAGTTTTCAGGGATCCCATAGGGACCCTCCCCAGCCTGAGGTTGTCTTGGATCAACGGTGTCATAAATTTTGCAATTTTCTAAGTTATGCAACTACCTCAGCCCATCTACTTGGTGAAAGATGAGTTGAGACAGAGACATCAACGCCTACTACAAACTGAGAAGCAAGAACAAAAGCCCTTTAAATTTTTAAATAGGAAAAAACTTGTTACAGAATTAATATTGATATTTAATTGTAGGTATGCATAACAAAAATTTCACTTTACATTTATTTATTGATTTTACTGAAAGAAAGGAAGTGAGAGAAACATCGATTGATGTTCCACTTATTTATGCATTCATTGGTTGATTCTTGTATGTGCCTTGATGGGGGATTGAGCCCAACAACCCAGATATGTAGGATTGATGCTCTCACCAACTGAGTATCTGACCAGGGGAACTCATAATTTCTTGTTTATTATAATATTTCATGCAATGTATATAAAAGAATTCTCAGCTAAACATGGCCAACTTTCATTATATATATGTACTTCTTCATTTGCTCTAAATGTAATTCCTGAATGTGTTTCTAATGTTACTGCATTGACAATGCCACACTTATCATCACACCTATAAATCTTGTATGATGTGTGTAACTCACAAGTACTATTTCATTATGACAAACTCATTTTCACACTAACAGAAATACCAATAACTTTGTCACAATTCAGTTCTCCAAGTTTTTAAAAAATTAATTTTGCTTAACTGATATTTAAGTTACAAATAAAAAGACTTCCATTTATGTTTATATATGTATTTTTTTGTATTTTGTATATGCATACTTTTTACTTTTAAAGGTTTATACTACATTCTTATGACATATGTCATATGTTTGATGGGGTAATTAGGTAACTTGTCTGGTAAAATTTCCCAGATTCTCAAATGTGTGCATACCCCATTTATTGTGGTATGCTTTACTGAGCTTCAGAGATAATGCATTTTTATCAATAGGAGGCAAGACCCCCCTCTGCCACCTGCACAATGGTTGCATGCAACTCAGTGATTGTCTGCATTTTTAATCCATAAACTATTTTAAATTAATGGATATATTATTATTTTTGAAATATTGCTATTGTATATTTAATAGATTGTAATATACAATAATGAACCAATAAACCAGTATGACTGGCCTTATGGTCATGTTCACTTGGTTGGTGTGGTACTTTACATGCAATTTCTGGACTGAATTCCTGTAACTGCATGTCTTTGAGGTCTTCAACATATACTTCATTGTTTGCAAAAAAAAAAAAATGTATAATTTAAGCCAGAGGCATCAAATGAAGTTTGTCTCAACTCTAGTCACACTGCTGACTAGAAAGAGCTGAGACTTCTGATTGCATCAGGCGTGCTCAACTTCACATAGTAACTTCACATAGTATGTCCAACTAGGGCAGGGTAAATAACATCAGGTATTGGGGACCACTCTGTGTGGTATTGGAGACGGTGGCCCTGTGCAAGCAAGGCCTTGAAAGAGGCCTGCAAGACGACTGGAAAACTGGGAAGGTAGGAGGCAGGCATGACCTGATGCCAGCATCATGGAGAATGCATCGTACCCTTTGAAGCTTGCTTTGCTTTGCTATGGCCCCATTGATATAAACCAGATATTTAAGTTCAAAGTATAAGGAGTGAACTCTTTATCTCATGAAACACTCCTTAACAACCATCTGGTGTCAGCATGTCTAACAGACCCTGACCTGAGGCAGAGCTCTGTGTTTCTTCAATTGTTATCTATAGATAATATTTGTTTTCTATAACTATAGCTTTTGGACATTGATTGATGAGCTATGCATGTATGCTGTATACGCCTGTACATACCGATCCCAATAAAAGCTGTTTTGGAGAAGGACTTGGGGCATTCTCCACTAGAGAGTATTGCCAGCCCCTTTTCCGACAGATTGTGTCCAGGCCAATTCATTTCATCTGTGAACAGGAGGACTCTGGAGGACAGGGTTCCCCTCAATTAGGGACTTGAGCAACCTCCCCCAGTTCTGCCTGAAGGA